CACCGGGGGGAGACTCCTGCGTCTCTTTAAAACCTCGCTAACACGAACTACTTCCAATACCTCACCTTTAAACGGAAGACAGTTTGCAGCTTGGGACACGATCAACGGCTCGGTGAATAGTCCACGGCGGGAAGGTTTTTTTCTGGGAAGCAGGAAGCATGTCTCACGTGACCGACGACCAGGTGGTTCAATTTTCCCTGGGGGAGGTTCACTCGACCAGGTATTAGAGCTCGCGCTCGGTGCTTGGTAGGCTGTTCTCGACCAACCCTTTTACGCCCAGAGAGCTGCGGGATGCCCTGGATGGGCCATGGCAAAGAAAGGGGAGGCTTCAAGTGATGGGGACACGGTTCGATCTTTTTGAAATAGTGCTCCCTAAGGAGGCTTCTAAGAATTGGGTCATTAAACGATCGCCTTGGGTGATCAATGACCGTAACCTTCATGTTCGACCCTGGATTCCCACGATCACCAAATAAGTGTTCGACGATCTGGCAGTGGCCCCGTTTCATGTCCAACTGTGGGATATCAAGGAGGATTGCTGCTGATAGCGTCGTATTTGCACATATTTGCACCCTTGTTTCTTAACCATTTTGGTTCAAATTTGTGGTGTCTTGACCTATTTAATGCTAGATTGTGTTCCTTTGTCACATTTCAGGTCCTAGTACGTAAATTGAAGCAAAGGCGCAAGTTTCAAGTCAATCGAAATCGATTTGGCAATTCGGGAGAAGAAACACGAACATGACCTGAGGAATAACGGACTTCTACCTCATATTATGAACAAATAATCATGGAAGTTTGTTATGAAAAGAAAGAGGACGAGGCTACGAGCGTCTGCGTTCAAACGGCGACTGATTCGGAGTCCGGACGAGGGAGAAACGGAGCATTAAACAGGAGCGGAGGAAGAATTACGGGCAACCCCTGCCCAATTACGGTCGTAATTGCTCCTGTCATGCCCGTAAATGCAATGCCGAGCCTAATACTTCAGAATTCCTGTCGCAGAGACAATTACGGGCAAGAGTCATAGTAACTATGGTCATAATTCCATAATTACTGGCAGTAATTGGGTAATTACGACCGTAATTCCCTTCCTCAAAGTTAAGTAAACCGCGCGTTTTGGGTGAATTACGGGCAGACCATGATTACGACCGTAATTCAGCCCGTATTTCACCCAGAATTGGGTTTTTGAGGCAGATTCGAGCCAAAGGAGAGGGAGTCGACTTTTTGGAGCAAAAATAGAGTTTTAGAGAGAGAAAGTGCTAAGAACAAACCCTAGGAGGTATTTGGAGTGGATTTCTCACCATTGAAGCCCATATTGCATCCCCAGGAGTGAAGATTGACATCCCATAGCAGATTCTTCCCATTGTTATGAGTATGACTGTTTTGTATTCTGTTTCCCTCTCTCTCTCTCTCTATGGAGTAGAACTTTCTCTCACTTGGGTATGAAGAACCCTAGTTTCAATTGTTAGGAATCTTGGTAGTGGTGGATTGGTTATACGAGAGTTAATCAAACTACAGCTTTGTATTGGAACCCAAATCCAGTAGTGGAGTTCTGTGCTTATCGCCTCAGCAGTCTATCCCGGTGAAGGCTAGTCGCCTGCCGGTTAGCCTGCCTGAGAGGGCTTGGCACTACAGGAAAAAGATCCTTTAATCACGGTAAATCCTGTGTTTGAAAGTGTATTTCCCGTGTTTAATAGTTTATTCACGGGAAAGTTACCGTAATATATACCTCTGTGTCTAATTGTAAAGGTCACGGGAAAATTGTACCGTATCTAGTTATAACTAGTCACAGTATAATTTCCCATGATAATTTGTACCTATTTATCACGGGGGGCACCATGACTAATACCAAATCTTGCCACACAAAACCCAAAAAGAAAGTACTTTAGAGACGGGACATATACCTTTAAACACTGTATTCACCGTGACTAGATACAAATCATTAGTCACGGTATATGGTTTATTCTCCGGTGTCTAGATATTAACAATTGGTCACTGTATTTTACTATGACTAGTTAATAATTATCAATCACTAGCCACTATATTTCTCATTATATAAAATTTATTATATTAAGATATAATTGAAAAGACCAACTCTTATAGCATGAAATTCTAACATTATTATCAATACAATTAGTTGATATTTATTCCTCAATGTTAATTAACATATAATTGAAACGGATAATTATCGTACCATTAAACTCTCATATAATGAAAAATCAATTACGTATCAATCAGTCTGACCAATCATCTAAAATTATCTGAATGTTTGTCTATGATTCTACAAAATATTCTTGGTAGCTCCAGTATCCATCAACTCCCAAATCTTCATGCTTTTTCATCCTGACAAAACATAGTAAGAAATTTAGAATTAGACCCTATGTTTCAAGCACAAAAGTTTGTCAAAGGTAGGCAAATACACTAGGGGTCGTTTGGATTGATTGTTTGAGGGTGTTATTTGGGCCCAAATAACACAAAATGTGTTATTTGAGCCCAAGTAACATGTTTGGATGGAGTAAAATTGGTGTGTTATTTGGAGTGTGTTATTGTGAGAATAACACATTTGTGGTGTTTGCCAAATAACTGAGGGGGTCCAGGTATTGTCCAAACACCACATTCTTGTATTTTTCATTCTGATTCTATCCTCATTATTTTATTGCTAAACCCATACTACCCTTGCTTTATCTGCAGCACCTTTTCACTTTCCTTCTCCAAAGAAAAACGAATATGCTCTTCTGACTTGTCTTCTCCATACCTCTTTTCTTATCGAAACACAAGCAGCTGAAGCAAAGGAAGCATAGTCACCGTCTGATTCTGCGTTCGTCGGCGTTGGCGTAGGCTTAGACAACTCGTTTGGTGGTGCTGCGTTCTACGCAGAAAGCATCTGAAGTATCAGGTACACCTTCTCGTTCCAAGGGAAAATAGGGTTTGCTCCAATCGGAACTTCCCCAATAATGATCGATCCTTCCTTTTTGCTTCTTTGGAGATTCTGGGTATTTGTTTCTTCTCCCAAAATATTGTGATTATTTTATAATTGTTAGGTCGGTGAAAAGGGCTTCTCTCAATAGTTAATCCAACCTCTTGGAACGAGATATCTCTTCCAAAGATGATAGTCACATAATTGATTAAATGGGTGTTCTTTTGTTTATTATTTGTTGGTTGATTGGAATTATATGTGTAGTTGGCCAATAAAGTGACCCAACGTTTGTTCATCTGCTTTCTCTCAAAAGGAATTTTGTTTGTTAGCTTGTGATTGCTTGTCTGGGTAATTTGTGAAGGCATTGAACTTGTATGAATGATATAGCATAGGGTTGGATGTTTGGTTCCGTCAATTTCCTGTGAATATATAACTGATAAAGTGTCTCTTTATTTTTCATATAATAGGGATGGCACGCTTACCTACCTTGTCTCCAACAAGTAGGCTTCATGTGGTAGCAGCAATTAGCTCTTTCTTAAACTTGATTATGATTTACGTAAATTTAGGTATGGGATTAGCCGAGCTCATAGAAAAACGAAAATCTAACCCAAGACTTGGTAGGCAGCCCATGGACACCGACTTAGTTAGACATTATGACAGGCAAAGACACCTTGAACTGGCAATCCGTAGGAGTGACACATATGCGTATGATAGGGTTAGGATGAACCGAACCCTATTCAACTCTTTCTGTCACCTTCTTATTACTGAAGGAGGATTGAAAAGAACTAGGAATGTTGACATAGATGAGATGGTTTACACCTTTCTTCGCACTATTTCTCACAACGAGAAGAACAGAACTTTAATACTGAATTTGCGACGATCGGGAGAGACCATTTCTCGCTCTATACATCGGGTGCTAAGGGCTGTCATTCGCCTAAATGATATGTTAATGAAGAAGCCTGTCCCGATTCCTGAAAACTCTACCGATAGTAGATGGAAATATTTCAAGGTTGGTTTGGACATTTTTTTAAACGGGTTTACTCAATACTTAAAAGTTGGTTTCATTCGATCTTTAAAATGGTTATTCTTGTGTGTTATAGAGTTGTTTAGGAGCCCTAGATGGTACTCATGTACGTGTTCGTCCATTGAAAGAGGACCGATCTAGATATCGAGACAGAGAAGGGAAACTTTCTATGAATGTGTTGGGGGTGTGCACTCCAAATTTGGAGTTCATCTACTGTCTTTCCGGGTGGGAAGGTTCTTCCCATGATGGAAGGGTCTTACGAGATGCCTTGACAAGGCAAAATTGTTTTACTGTCCCACAAGGTAAATGATAGTACTAGGTTAACGTACAAGTTTACTTAATAAAAAAAGAAACCCCTCTAAACAAACTGATTTTGGTGTGTATTGTTTTACTATAGGCTGTTACTATCTTTGTGATGCTGGTTATGCAAATAGTCCTGGATTTTTGACCCCATATCGTGGTCAAAGGTACCACCTCAAAGAATGGGGTGTTAATCCACCTGAAACTGCCGAAGAGTTCTATAATATGAAGCATTCATCAGCTAGGAATGTCATAGAACGCATTTTTGGGATTTTAAAAATGCGATGGGCTATTCTAAGAGACTCATCATGGTTCGCTCCTCGTGAGGTTGCTCGAATTGTGGTTGCATGTTGCATTATACACAACTTCATCAAGAGGGAACAAGGAGCCGATCAATTTGAGAGAACATATCAAGATGAAGAACCGGAACATCATCCTTCAACTGAGGTTGAGACAATTGATACTTGCAGCATGCATCCTTGTCCGGAATGGACACAATATAGGAACCAAATAGCAATTTCCATGTGGGAAAATAGGCCTAATAGATGAAATAGTCCCCTATTTTGTTAATGTGATGTTTCTGTGACCTTAATTATGTACTGAAGTTTGTATGGTATGGATGTTGTTTATGGTTATTGAAGTTTGTACTTAAATATGTGAATGTTGGATGTTCTTTCTGTTACTATCTTGGAGGGGATGTTCTTTACTAGGTGATTGCAACGTATTTTTCATTATACATACAACTTACACTTTTGTCTAGTAGGTATGGGAAAGAAGAGGAAAGTTGTAGACAATGCTGGTGGTCCTTCACGGGAGTATAATGTGTGGGATTCCAAACACGACGAGCCTTTTCTGCAATGTTTATTGGAACTAACTGAGAAAGGGCAGATTAGTGACGACACATGCAAGAATGGTGCATACAAGGAACTAGAACGTATGATGGAAGCCAAAGTGCCTGGTTGTGGAGTGAAGTCGAAACCCACGATTCTGAATAAGTTCAAGAAGTGGAAACAGAAGTATCATGCCACCGTTGAGATGCGTTTGGTAAGCGGGTGGGGTTGGGACCCTATACGCTGCCATATATTGGCTGATGACAAGTCCTTTGATGACTATGTGAAGGTAATTGTTTTTATTTTTTGTTTATTGTATCTTTTAGTGACTGTCAGTGTGAATTTTCCATTAAATGTCTCACACTGTATGTTGGGGGTAGTTTCTTAGTTGGTAGGTTTGTATTTATGAAGGCCTTTACATCTATAAATGCTACCACTATTTACTTTACAAGCTGCATGTGTTTGTTTTACAGGTCCATACACACTGCAAGGGAATGAACAAAAAACCATTTCCACAAGTTTGGGCACTCGAGCCAGTGTTTGCCAAAGTTCGTGCTAATGGTGAAACTGGGTTCACCGGAAATGATGGAAACTCGTCCTATACTAGCGCTGAAGGTGAAGAGCCGCAACCAGAATGCTTTGAGAAGTCTGTCCCTTTTCATGTCGAGGACTTTAACAATGACACTACAGAGGAAGTAATGGCGGATATAATAAATGAAGGGGTTGAAGCTCGTAACTGCAGCAAGAGGAAGCACTCATCAAAGCCTAATTCAACAAAAAAGAAGAAGAAAGGGCAAGCCGATGATAGTACCTCTGAAGTTGCAGCTGAGATGAGAGAGATGAGGCCACTCATAGACCTATCAGCTGAGACGATTGCTCGTGCTTTGGGTGAGAGCGAGTTGCAGAACAGTATGCGACTCGATTTGATGAAGAATTTAGAGAAGCTAGAGGGTCTTACCAGGTCTCAAATGGTACTTGCTTGCAGAAGGCTTAACAACAGTCTGGGAGACTTGAAGACCTTCTATAATATGGAAACAGAGGAGGACAAGATGACCCTTGTGCTTGATATTCTGTCTATGTGAAGATGTGGTTTGCTTGTCTTAGGATTAGTGATGTCTTTGTCCAGTTTGCAAAGAGTCTTTTGCCTATGTATCTGTCATTATAAAGCACTTGTAATGACAGTCTTTGAAAACCTATGACAAGCATCTATTTTGTAAAGTGCTAGATGGTTTAGAAAACAGAAACTTATGGTAGATATGGTGTAAATGGAATGGAAATGCATATATTTATATAAATTGCAGCTTGTGTTTTTCTTTTTAGGGATTGTTGCTTTACTGTGTTGGCATACGTATGAATCTTTCTAGGACTGTAGCCCCCAGTTTGGCTCACTGTAAATGAATGATGAATGGAGGTAGAAACAAAATATTGAGGAGAAGATGGAGAAACAGAAGCCAGAACACACTTTTGTTTGGAACTCTCGATGAACAAGTGTAGGAAGGGATCAATTGTGTGCTTTAATTTTTTTACATCTTTACAAAGGGTAGTTTGGTATTTTCTAAGTTTGTGTACCAAATAGCACATCACAAAATAACACATCTCTAATCCTTTCCAAACATGATATTTGGAACAAATATCATATACCAAATAACAAGTATTTGGCTATGTAGTATTTGGTAGGTATTTTGCCTCGAATAACAGGTTTTTCAAATCATCAATCCAAACGACCCCTAAATATTACTATCTACAAACTCTATGGACAATAGTAGACAAATCAACAGCAAGCTGCCAGTCCCATGTCCAGCTGTTCAAAATTTAGTCTCCTGTATTTAGAGCAACCTTGAAGAATAATAAGAGATCACCCAACCCCCGTAATAAGTAAAAGTTCATAGCTCGGTTACTAACGGTGAGCTTTTAAGCCATCTCTCCAAGCAATTTCAACTCCAATGTTTGAGCAGTTAACAAGTAAACTTCAACTATAAAAATCATATGAACCATGCCAACAAAAAGGATGAAATTTGCATAATTCCCAACCCTCAGACTCCAAACAAGATAAGACTTTGAGAATGAAAAACAAAACACACGAGTGAATGGAAAATACCAAAGCTCGGCCTCCTCAGAACAACCTATCTTCTCAGTTCGTGAAAACACTTGCAGTTGCGGTAAATATATCTGGTGTTAAGACATAAACACCACAGTTTAGCAAATTCCTGACTTGCATTCTGAACATAAAAGAGAATTCACTCAACCACGAAATAAAACACTACGCAGAATGTAAACTTCACCAAGCACATACAAATATCTCAGCCAACAAGGTATAGTTTAAGGACTTGCTACTAAAATTAATTCCCGTAACAAAAGCTGAATGTGTCCATGACCTAGACCGAACCAAAAATCTTTCAACTCTAGGGATCTATTTTACACCAAACCAATTCTTGTGTATTCACATAATCAGTGTAACAGGCCAAGAGGCATGCAACAAGGCCAAGAGGTTGTAAAAAAAACCAGCAGAAACTAATAATAAACCAAAAGCTGCAGAAATTGAGTAGTAACCAAAAATTGTATAGGAATCGTAGAAAACAACAACCAAAAGCATAGAATGGAAGTCTGTACTCAACCTAGCTCTCCTCCTTTTGTTCTACACCAGAATAATGGAAGTGAGAACTCTTATCTCTTATTCGGAGCAAAAAATGATTCAGTCAAAACTCAGATTCAAGATTACTCACCAGCAACGTATTTGCCAACTTCTCATTGCAAAATGTCTTCCAGGAAAACCTTCCTGCAAAGCGTGTGTACCCAAAACTGCTCATTTACATTATATCTGGTAAATTGAAGGAGACGATAAGATAACAGAACTTCATCCAATCAAGATATCATAAACTAGAGACCATATTAACTATTTGACTATTAAATGGCAATGAAATTCTCCAAGGAAATACAAATACTAGTTATTAGAATTGAACGAGAACATACAAAGATAGAGAATTGCAAGTCAGCAACCCACTGAATGAAGATCAATTCTATCTTCTAAATTATAGCTTACTAAAGGCATCCGGTGGTATTCTGAATACCAAGAGGTTAGCTGGATAAGTACATAACTAACAGTTGAGACATAGCCGCATAAACCACAACTTAACATCCTGAAACCAGAAAGAAGGCTACATAACCAACATTACCCACATAAATACCTCTGAAAGTAGAGTTAACCAACCAGCTTTAAGGGAACAATCGAAAACCAAACCAAGAATACCATTTAAAATTTATTCGCCACAAGCAAAAATCCAACTTGAAACAAGAAGACACATTATGGACACATAAAAAACCCAATAGAAAGCGATCATCCATTACAAATAGAAGCGGACATGAAACAGGGAAAATGAACTAGGGAACCTTTAAATGGAGAAAGACGCCGGTGTTGGGACCAACCTGGAAATCATATGAAATATTAAATATCCACATGACGTCCTGATAATTTCTTCTTTCACTTCTACCTGCAACTCAAAATCAGAGAGAATCACTATGAGTCCTCTACAATAGAAAACCCCCCAAATCAAACCTCACAAAAACCAGGAATTGAAACCCCAGAGAGATCCTCATGTTAAACCGAGCTTCAACGAAAGTGGCAGGGCATAATAATGGCCTGAGAATAAACACGAAATTAGAGAGGAACGAATACACATACAAACTTACGAGATTAGCATACTCGAATCTTACCAGCGTTTAGTAGACCCTCGTCATTCTAATCCAATATACTCTCCTCCATCGAAATCTTAACCTCTTGAAGTAGCGGCGGGGGTTGTGAGTGCACTTTACGCAAATTTTGCAAAATCAATTGCTGGGCTTTGGTCAAACTGAGAGGGAAAGAGAACCCTAATTCGAGGAGAAATTGATGGAGATTTAACAAGGATTTGAGGAGAAGTTGGCTAAAACGATGATAACTCGAATACCGTAGCTTAGAGGCCTTGAATCGAGCAGTGACGGAACTTGGAGGTGCATCTAAATGGCTAAGAAAAACGGTTTGTTTCCATCCTTCAGATGAACAAACAAAAGGGAAAGTAGAAGAAAGACGAAGAGAAGGGTTTTTGGCGGTAGGAGTTGAGGAAGATTCAGAGAAGAACAAGACGCAGTCGGGATGGAGAGAGAGGAAGGAGTGAGCGGTGGAACAGAAGGTAGAAAGAGGGAAAGAGGGTTAAATTTGGTGGAACAAAAAAGTGGCGGTCAGAATCAAAATTTTGGAGCAAAAAACAATTGGGAGTGGCGGGTTAATTTTGGTGTTGTTCTCGATGAAAGCAAATTTTTTGGAGTCAAAAGAATTTTTGGAGGCAAAGCAATTTTTTGGATAAAACAAATTCTCCCTTATTTTTTAAAGATAAAGATATTGTTTGGTAATAAATGTATTTCATAAGTTTTAGTAAATTCATTTTGAAATTAAATCTTTTTGTGTTCGGTATTTATAATAATTAATTTTCAATTCAAACTTTTGAATTCTACAAAATTAAAATTATTTATATCAATTTCGAGGAATTGAGATGAAATTTTCAAATGAATTTCACAAGGATTTACTAATTATAATAGAATGACATAATTATTCTCATTTAATAGCTAAATTACTTCTACATAAATTATTTGACGCCAATTAATACAGTAGGAGGAACGTCGATAAGAATTTGATTGCATCGCTAGTAGCATATACTGGTTATTTGATATTTCTGCTTTGATAGTATCATTATGTTGAGAAGTCACAACTAGATTGCAGGGTTCATCGAGGAAATGTTAGAAAAGAACTAATGAATAGAATACAAACACACAAGAACACTTGTGATATTCTACGTATGGGACAAGAGACGTTTTTTAGAAAATCGGTTTTCATTGAATACTTTTTCGGCCGGAAGTTAATAAGGGTGTAGTTGAAAACTTTTAATTGAAGTCAATTCTCAACGTATGCCAAACATGGTTTGAGAATTCAAATAATTTTATTTCTATAGATTTGAATTTGGCGTACCAAATATAAGAATTCATTTGACAATGAATTCTCGATTCATTTGGTACCAAATGGTCAAGTGTCACATTATTCACGGGAATTATCCGTGACTAACAATTAATCACGGTAAATGAAGAATACAAAACATGGAAATTAATTACCGTGAGTAGAACTATACAATCAAATACGAAATTTTTACCGTGACTATTAGCATACTTTTTAGTACGGGAATAATTACCGTGAACAAGTTACCGTGACTAGAAACCAGTTTTCCTGTAGTGTGGCCAGCTTAAGAGATTCCAAGCTACTGTCGGATCTTCCGCAGTTTAATCAACATTAAATCAACCCAGGGTAATCACAATTGAGACCTAACTAAGGTGCTAGGGGGAATCATTCCCGAGTGACTCTTCCTTTGCTTTAGAAAACCGAACCATTTCCTGCTTTCTTACTGCTTTTAGTTAAAACCACAATCAATCAACTTAGTTTGCTAGATAACAAATATACACGGAGTAGGCAGTAAATGTGTGCACGTAGTGCATGACCCGTAGCCAGTCGGGGGATTTACTACCGTTAGATCAAGAGCTTGAACGGACTTGTAGGAACTTCAAGCGGGCGTTAAAGGCGCGACTGGCTGCGGAGGAAGCTCTAGCACAGCTGCAAATCGCCGAGGAGGAAGAGATGGGTGACCCACAGGACCATGATGTGGTCCTTCTCGAGGAGCAAACCATGGGCTATTACTGGACCGCCCGCGCTGCAGACATGAAGTCTCCCATCCAACACCCTCAAGTTCCTGCCAACAACTTTGAAGTGAGTACCTCTGTCATCACCATGCTGCGCGGCTCGGTGGTATTCCGTGGCAAGGAGGGAGAATGCCCCCGATCACACCTGAGGCGGTTCCACGAGCTCATAGATGGGATCAAGATAAATGGGGTCCTAGCCGATGCCATCCAGCTGAGGTACTTCCCATTTACTCTGGAGGGGCAAGCCAAGGAGTGGCTAGACACTAGGCCTCTCGGATCGATCACCATGTTCGCCAACCTAGCAGACAAGTTCCTCACCCGCTATCATCCTCCATAAAAAACGGCAGACTTGCAGAAGCAGATCACCCACTTTGCCCAGGATGAAGATGAGACCATCTGCGACGCATGGGAGAGATACACAAGTCTCTTCCTGAGGTGTCCCAATCATGGTTTCAATGATGCTTTCAAGGTGGGCACCTTCTACCACGCCCTCTTCCCAAAAGAAAAGCAGCTGATTGATTCGGTTTGTGGCGGGAACATGCTGACCAAGACGCCGCCGCAGTTGAATCAGCTCTTTGAGGAGATGGCAGAGAAAGGGTATGATTGGGGCACTACTAGGAGGTCGAGGCGAGCACCAAGCCGAGGTGTACATGTTGTGGGCACCCACTCTTCTGATTTGGTGAAGGTTGTGTCTAAACTGATCTCAGCCATCGATCGGAATGGGATGGTTCCGGGGACAGGGCAGCAGCCAGCAATGCGTTGCTAGTGGTGCGAGAGCGCCCATCATACTATAGAGGATTGCCAGGCCTTGCGTGAGTCTAGTACACCCCAGGAGCAGGTAAACTTCATCAACAATGTCCGGCGCAACGACCCATACAGTAACACCTACAATGAGGGATGGCGCCAACATTCAAATTTCTCCTGGAGTGGCAACAAAAATCCGAAGCCACCGGGCTT